CTCAAATGACGTCACAAAACTTTGCCCCCCAACCCCCCCAAAAAATATATAAAACATGCTTCAAATCGCTTTAAACTATTGTCATCGTCGTACGTATTTAATGTGGCGCTGCACTCTGATGTTGGAGGAGAAAACATGTATTTAAAAGTCTATTTAATTAAGTGGAACGTGTTGTCTATATTTATTTAAAGTTGCGCATTTTGATGTGACGTCACATTTCTCAACCCCCCCCTCGTCACACATCGTCACAAATGTCTGACCCCCCCCCCCCCAGGTGCGTGACGTCATTTATGTACAGCCCCTTATTCAAAATATTGTCCACAGACAATAATATGATTGTAATATCACCACACCAACTCTGCCATTCTTATGTATAATAATGTATGCACTGAACAGACGTATGTGCCTATTTACCCCCAGCTGCAAATGATCATCATTCAGTGTCGAAGTAATGGCCTTTAACAGCTGAAGGGGCCTTGTGAACTCACTTCATACAACACATGAAAATATAAAAACATACATTATTGCACTCGATCCGATGCCTGTATTACTGTCAGCTTAAGAAATGATGTAAATATGTGAATCGATGCATCGTTGCATCTCTTGTAGACATACACAAGGATTCCAACACCACATTAAACCATGATTACACCGCAGGGCATGATCAAAGTGTGCTCTACACCATAAAGCAGATGTTAAGCCTATGGTATTGTTTGCATTTGAAATAAAATGCTACCATGTGCCAGTGTCAAGATTAAAATCCAAAGTTTATAAGCAAACTTTTAAATATAATTGCGTAAAAAAACCTACTAACAATAATCCTGTCCTTGCAAGTTGTCTAAGGTCAGAAGCCCTTGCAACAATTTTAAAGCGTTTCCTTATGACTAAACAAACCATAAGGAAGACAATAAGCATATATACGATGCACATAAAACATACAGGATATGCGTACATTATTTGGATATGTGGTCATCCAGAACAAACAGTACAACACATATAATGACGCAATATCCGAATCCACAAACACAAAGGAGACATCACAGGGATACAACTCCACTGCTTCTCACGCGGATACATCTGGCTTGACCACCTGAATGTGAAATTGTAGTCGTTGTTCTGCATCTACTACATCGGCCATACAAAATAATATTTGGATATTGCTAAAATGGCACACAATGATGGCATCATTTTTCATTTGAGCAAAAACTGCTTTCTCAGATATCAACTTTCAGGAAGCAAAACTTAACCCTTTCCTGTTTGAAAAAAAAAGTGTACTAAATATATAAATAACCCGGCTGCTTGCGTAATCCGTTCATTGCAGTGTACACTGGCACAAAACAGAGGCACACATTTACGTATGGCGCATGGCACGTTTCCCGGAGCCAGTGAGGCTCCCACCCACACAACGCTGTCTGTCAAAGGCTCAGCCCGTGTGTGTGATGTGGCATGTATTTGTGCGCGTTATGCCAACCACTCCTTCAAAATTCAGCAGCCCATTAGCCACGGGCATGAATGACGGCTCTATGTTCTCCACTCGGTTGATTCCTGGAGAGAGGACACTGGAGAGAATCTCACTGTCGTCAGGATGTCAAAGGAATCTCTGGGAAGAGATGCTGACCCCTAAGGTCACAGCGAGCCTCTTGTTGGTTCTTGGGAGTGGGGCAGTTTTGTGGGGGAGTTGTGTGTTACTGTCTGCGTGGTGTGATGTCAGCAATAATAACATGACCATGGTAAAGTCTTTTTACTATTACCCAGATGCGAATGAATCAAGAAGGCGTTTGCGTATGGGACACTCACTCAAAAAGATATGACATTGCGATAGGTATCCAATCCACAACACTGCTATACGAGCATCGAGTGTGCTCTTAACATGACATGAATGGGGAACGCAGTACACAAATAGTCGACTAAACGGGAGATGTTATATTAAATATATTTTGAAAAAAAGTGGCATTGTTTTGTGCAAATACATTTCTTTACGGTTCAAAACCACCTAATTAGAACTGTAAGATGTACTAAAAATAGCACATCAAAAACTCCTTTAAACATGCCTTAATGAGATCTGTTCTTTTTAGTACTGTACAAGACGAATCATTAGCGGGGTACAAGAAAACAAAGCGACTGAACCACTCATGTCCAGCTGCTATTTGACAAGAGGCACTGAGGTGGGGCTAGCATTGGCACTTTGATAAAAATAGGTCTCCGCCCTGGGTCTATTGCAAACACAGCGACAGTATTCTTGTATTACAGAATACACACGACACACGTCAGTGCTAAACCATGACAGTATACAGAACACACACACAAATACTGCACAGAGCAGTTCTGAACTATGACATTAGCAAAGTGATTTCAAATCCTGGATTACGGTACCTGTAGTCACAATAGCTGTATAATTCTGTTCGGAAAAATGAGAGTGTACGTCTGTGACTTAAAACATACTAACTCTTGTTGATAATTATAAAAGTCGGCTAGGCTAGCCAGCAACCATCTGCCCACAGTTTCCTCCCACACGAAGTAAAAACTAATGTAATTAATTGATATTAGGGGCCGTCCATAAATGACGTCACGCGATTTTGGACGATTTTTGACCCCGCCCCCCTCGTCACACGGCGTCACAAAGTCAGACCCCCCCTCAAATATGACGTCACAAAGCTCTGCCCCCCCTCCCCCCCCCAAAAAACATGCTTCAAATCGCTTTAAACTATTGTCATTGTAGTGCGTATTTAATGTGGCGCTGCACTCTGATGTTGTAGGAGAAAACATTTATTAAAAAGTCTATTTAATTAAGTAGAACGTGTTGTCTATATTTATTTAAAGTTGCGCATTTTGATGTGACGTCACATTTCTCAACCCCCCCCCCTCGTCACACATCGTCACAAATGTCTGACCCCCCCCCCCCAGGTGCGTGACGTCATTTATGGACGGCCCCATAGACAAACATCCCAATGCAGGAACCTCCAGAAACGGGGTCACGAGACTCGGTGACGCTCACGAGGACTAATAACGTTGGTTTACAAATTACAGCACTTGAAATGCACATTTTCTTTAGCTAAAACAGTACTTTACAAACAATAGTGGCTTGTTTGTCACGAGGCTAACAACTTGCATGTTGTTTTACTTGTAACATCATTTTACTTTCTCTTTGTAACGCCACTCAAAGTAGGAACAATTTAACTCCGAATGCAACCGTTCATAATTGTTGTCGAGTGGCTGATGTAACGCGACCACACTCGATCCGTGTGGGTTTTAGCTCATCATTTAAACCAGACGTTTAAGGCAACAGCCCTGTTTTTAGGAGAGAAAATGTGATACGGTTTCAGGGAAGTCGTGTTGTTGCGATATGAAGTTTACATATTTAAAGAAAAATAACACGCCTGTTGTTTACAGCATCTTTTATACAAAGGAGAATGTGCCGAGTGTTATTTTGTCCACGCGATCACGTGTACCATACAATGCACACAAGTCAGCCAGGCGGCTTTGTTTAATTTACAAAGGGGTGGGGATACACACATAGGTATTTAAGTTCCATCTGATTTTCATAGGTGGTCACCGACTATCCACCGCCGAAGCACCACCACCCGACCCACCCTGGCACGTCGTTCAATATCCACTCAGGGAGTGTGTGTCGGTGACTACCGTACGAAGAACACCACTCATTTAAATCCCTACCCACCCACCGCCGCCGAATCGTGTATAACAAACAGGTCCCTGCAGGGTGGGCTGGTAGGAACATTGGCAAAGTAACGTCACGGTGCCTTCGAACTTCGCCTCGCAAATGGTATTCGGCTGTGGGCTGTGTGTGAATTTGCCACATCCCCAAAAGCGAAGTTCGCAAATGAGATAATGTGACTTCCAAATGTTGGGTGCAATAAGACATATCAAGTCTCTGCGCTGTCTATTGCTGATTTTACACCCAACAGCACGAGATTTCACTTCGTTAAAGTATTGAAAGGGGACGGACGGACGGACACATTAATCTATTGCAGGCTGGTACACTCAGTTTACAACTTCGTTCCTACCAGTAAAAATCTAACTAAACAAGAATCACTGTGGGCACACTCCGCACAACAACAACTACAACAACAACTACAACAACAACAGCAGCAGCATTGCAAGGCGTTGGGGAATCCACTGCTGGATGCCCTTACAACTTGTCGTGGTATTTGTTTTCTTCCTTGAAGCCCGGACACAGCCCGATCCACCTACAACGTTGCCTACTGCGCTGGGTTTAAAGGCGCAACTCCCCCACACACAGACAGACACACACACAACAACCCCCTCCCCACTGCGACACACCAAATACTCAACACACCAGGCACTCTGTCTCTTGTGTGTACAACGCACACATCATCATCATCATACACATTGTACAACACAGCGTACACAACAGAGTGCCACACAGCACTCTTACAAGCGAACTGTGTATATAATAATACACACAATGTAGTGTCTACACACACACATACCACACAGCACGGACTCTATACTACACATACAATGATTTCACTACAGTAAACCCTCAACAGACACACACACAACATACACACAGCACATTATCTACAGATACATACCATAGACACACAACACAACGCAAGTAACAGCATCAGAACAGCATCAGACTAACAACACAAAGAGCAGTTTTGCACTACAGTCTAGAAACAGTACTACGACCTCGCTGCTCATGGATATACATGGTGAGTTAGTGATGATGATGTAGGTGCTGATGATGATCGTGAGTGATGATCTTAATGATGAGTGGTGATGCAGCTGGTGGTGGTGATGATGATCGTGAGTGAGTGATGTGATCGTGAGTGATGATGATGATGTTAATGATGAGTGGTGATCCAGCTGGTGATGATGATGATGTTGGCGAAGATGAACGTGATGGAGACGGTAATGAAGATGACAATTATGGCGGTGGTGGTGGTGATATGGATGACGAACGGATAAGAGTGGCGATGATGATGATGATGAGGAGGAGGATTGAAGACACTTACCATGATTGCGCTCCACCTTGCGTCTACTCCTCTTCACTTAACAGTCCCCGAGAACTCGCGCTCCTTCTCCGAGTGGGAGGAGGTGGTGGTGGTGGGGGGGGCGATGAGGAGGTAGAAGGTGGGGGTGACACGGCGGCAAGGGATGAATAGAGAAAGATGTGGATGGAGGGATGGGGGTGAGCACAACGAGAAGGGGAGCCGGCCCGGCCGCCGTGAGAAACAGCCAGCCGGCCCGTGTAGTGATCGAGAGGAGTGGAGGGCGGGGACGAGGTGAGGAGGAGGAGGAGGGGGGTGATGATGGTGATGATCGTGGTGTTGGAGGAGGAGGGGGGGAGACGGGTGAGGCTCGAGGTGTCCTGGGACGGCTGGTTGGCTGGGCTTGTGGTGGGGTGGGTGGGAGGGTTTGTTGGTAGGTGCATCGTAGGTGGGGTTGGTGGTGGTGGTGTCGGTGGGACGGTGTGAGCTCGTGGGGCTGTGTGGGGGAGGGAGGGAGGGAGTGAGGGTTGGGGGGGTGAGTAAGTGTAGGTGCGTTAGAGTGTATGGGTGAGTGGGTGTGTCAGTGTAGGTGCGTTAGAGTGTATGGGTGAGTGGGTGTGTCAGTGTAGGTGTGTTAGAGTGTATGGGTGAGTGGGTGTGTCAGTGTAGGTGTGTTAGAGTGTATGGGTGAGTGGGTGTGTCAGTGTAGGTGTGTTAGAGTGTATGGGTGAGTGGGTGTGTCAGTGTAGGTGTGTTAGAGTGTATGGGTGAGTGGGTGTGTCAGTGTAGGTGTGTTAGAGTGTATGGGTGAGTGGGTGTGTAAGTGTAGGTGTGTTAGAGTGTATGGGTGAGTGGGTGTGTAAGTGTATGGGTGAGTAGGTGTGTTAGAGTGTATGGGTGAGGGGGGGTGTTAGAGTGTATGGGTGAGTGGGTGTGTTAGAGTGTATGGGTGAGTGGGTGTGTTAGCGTGTATGGGTGAGTGGGTGTGTAAGAGTGGATGGGTGAGTAGGTGTGTAAGTGTAGGTGTGTAAGAGTGGATGGGTGAGTAGGTGTGTAAGAGTGGATGAGTGGGTGTGTAAGTAAGTGTAGGTGTGTAAGAGTTGATGAGTGAGTAGGTGTGTAAGTGTAGGTGTGTAAGAGTGGATGGGTGAGTAGGTGTGTAAGTGCAGGTGTGTAAGAGTTGATGAGTGAGTAGGTGTGTAAGTGTAGATGTGTAAGAGTGGATGAGTGAGTAGGTGTGTAAGTGTAGATGTGTAAGAGTTGATGAGTGAGTAGGTGTGTAAGTGTAGGTGTGTAAGAGTTGATGAGTGAATAGGTGTGTAAGTGTAGGTGTGTAAGAGTGGATGAGTGAGTAGGTGTGTAAGTGTAGGTGTGTAAGAGTTGATGAGTGAGTAGGTGTGTAAGTGTAGGTGTGTAAGAGTGGATGGGTGAGTAGGTGTGTAAGTAAGTGTAGGTTTGTAAGAGTTGATGAGTGAGTAGGTGTGTAAGTAAGTGTAGGTGTGTAAGAGTGGATGAGTGAGTAGGTGTGTAAGTGTAGGTATGTAAGAGTGGATGGGTGAGTAGGTGTGTAAATGTAGGTGTGTTAGAGTGGATGGGTGAGTAGGTGTGTAAGTGCAGGTGTGTAAGAGTTGATGAGTGAGTAGGTGTGTAAGTGTAGGTGTGTAAGAGTGGATGAGTGAGTAGATGTGTAAGTGTAGATGTGTAAGAGTTGATGAGTGAGTAGGTGTGTAAGTGTAGGTGTGTAAGAGTTGATGAGTGAGTAGGTGTGTAAGTGTAGGTGTATAAGAGAGGATGGGTGAGTAGGTGTGTAAGTAAGTGTAGGTTTGTAAGAGTTGATGAGTGAGTAGGTGTGTAAGTAAGTGTAAGTGTGTAAGAGTTGATGAGTGAGTAGGTGTGTAAGTAAGTGTAGGTGTGTAACAGTGGATGGGTGAGTATGTGTTTAAGTGTAGGTGTGTAAGAATTGATGAGTGAGTAGGTGTGTAAGTAAGTGTAGGAGTGTAAGAGTGGGTGGGTGAGTAGGTGTGTAAGTGTAGGTGTGTAAGAGTGGATGAGTGAGTAGGTGTGTAAGTAAGTGTAAGTGTGTAAGAGTTGATGAGTGAGTAAGTGTGTAAGTAAGTGTAGGTGCGTAACAGTGGATGGGTGAGTATGTGTTTCAGTGTAGGTGTGTAAGAGTGGATGGGTGAGTGGGTGTTTAAGTGTAGGTGTGTAAGAGTTGATGAGTGAGTAGGTGTGTAAGTATGTGTAGGTGTGTAAGAGTGGATGGGTGAGTAGGTGTGTAAGTAAGTGTAGGTGTGTAAGAGTTGATGAGTGAGTAGGTGTGTAAGTAAGTGTAAGTGTGTAAGAGTTGATGAGTGAGTAGGTGTGTAAGTAAGTGTAGGTGTGTAAGAGTTGATGAGTGAGTAGGTGTGTAAGTAAGTGTAGGTGTGTAAGAGTGGATGGGTGAGTAGGTGTGTAAGTAAGTGTAGGTGTGTAAGAGTTGATGAGTGAGTAGGTCTGTAAGTAAGTGTAGGTGTGTAAGAGTTGATGAGTGAGTAGGTGTGTAAGTAAGTGTAAGTGTGTAAGAGTTGATGAGTGAGTAGGTGTGTAAGTAAGTGTAGGTGTGTAACAGTGGATGGGGGAGTATGTGTTTAAGTGTAGGTGTGTAAGAGTGGATGGGTGAGTGGGTGTTTAAGTGTAGGTGTGTAAGAGTTGATGAGTGGGTAGGTGTGTAAGTAAGTGTAGAGGTTTAAGGTAAGATGTGTGAGTGGGAGCGTGAGTGGGATGGTACGAGTGACGTTGAGTTGCAGTCAGTGTGTATGTAGGAGTGGGTGAGTTCATAGGTGCTCGCTCACAACACTTGCCCCAACAGTATGCTAAGGCTATACGGGGGATCTTTCTCTTTGGGGTGATTAGGTATGCGAGTGTTGGTGTGCAAGATTGGGTGGGGTGAGTGTGTAGTTAGAATGGTATGAGGAGTGAATGAGGGGGGTGAGGGATAGCGTGAGTGTGGTGGAGGGGAGGTGGGTGTTTGAGTGTAAATAATAATTTGGAACGAATGAAGTGTGACATTGGGTGCGGTATAAGTGTGGGTAGGGAGTTTAAGTATCAATGGGCGAGTGTGGATGGTGATGTGTGGTGACTATAGGCTATATAAGTAGTGAGTGTGGGATAGTGGTGTGGTGTGTGGATGTTTAGCGTGGGATATTGTGGATGGGGTGTGGTGGAGTGGCACCGTTTCAATGTGGTGGTGTTCAGGTGTGAGTGGGGCTGTGTGTGTTGGGTGTGGATGTGTGAGGACTGTCATAATTTTTCCTGACACAACAACAACCATTTCTGGTGTCTTTGACATTACCCACAACGCAATTGGCCGGGTCTGGTGTCATTCATCAATCATCCAGGGCACAGCACGCATAACTTAGCACGTGTGCATTTTTAAACCCAGAATATCTAGTAGCAGTGCAACGCATGGAAATGTACTATTGTGTGTATAATGCAGTTCTTTGTCTGGTGGTACACACTTACGCATCCACCCACACACTCACCACACCTACACCCATCCCCACAGAGCACCGATATATTACACTGCACAGACATACTACATCAAGTAATGCATTATTGAAAAGCAAAGAACTTCATGAAAATAATGTGTGTGCGTCAAGGCAGATTTCATACAAAGACAATGACTCCCCCTGTCGCCTTAACAGGCAAAGCCGGCAGAAACCCCAATTCGATTCCTGCTCACGGCCAGCACCAGTGATAACGACTATCTAAACTGGTCCTGGGCCTCCCCTCGGTTGACTCAGCCTTAAATGAGTACCTGTTGCAGTGTGTTTATATCAGCACTGGGGAAACAGAGGCGGTCGGGCGCGGGTGTGACCACTAACGCCTCGTGTGCCGTTCCAGCCCTTTCATGGCTGCATACGAGCAGCACTTAACCACAATAATCTGTTAAGACTATACGGGGGGTATCTTTGTCTTTATCTTTGCCTTGTATATACTGTACTGTATAATACACATTACTTTGGCGATATGCTGCATGTGCCTTCGATGTGTATTATGTAACCATATACCGTAATTTGTTATATAATTCAACAGTGGATTGACACATAGGGCTGTGAATACATTTGTGTACAGTATATCCTAAAAATGATGCCCAAAGCACATATAATTGTGAATACACACAATTGTATTGCCTTTTAAACTTGAGATTTTAATCAAGTGTTCAGGTTGAAGCCTTATGTTAATTTGATGCCATTATTTATCTTACATTTGGTGGGAACATTGGATTGATGAACCCCTTCGTGAATTATCTAAATGTGATCGTAATATGGTAATAACACAAATGACTTTACACTAAGTGGCTTGTTAAAATGTGCATGTTTTACGATAAATATAAACGTAGATTTGTTTGCAATACAATCATACGGGTTACAAAATATTCGTCTAATTTTTGTCTCAATATTAAACCGATGATTTGGTGATGATGCTGCTGCTGCATTGGCAGTGGTGCATAATAAGCAAAATAAACAAATAACTCAACACATTTGTCACTAAATCTGTGGCCTTAAAAGAAAAAAAATATAATAGGTGACATTTTGGGCAATGGCCCTTCATAGTATATCAAGCATAACATGTTTGCTTGTTCATGCATTACTGAAAATGTATATCAACAATAATTTCTCAGCCTCTGAGAAACCCAGTCTTCACGGTGTCATGTCATTTATGGGGGATGTTTGACCATGCTTTACCACGCTGGTCGGAGAATCGAATTCAGATGGCAGGGTTCACAGTGCAGTGCTAACCATTGTGCCACCACTCCACCAAGTCGTTTTTCAGTGAGGTCAAGTTTCTGTTCACGAGTGTTTGTTTGCTTCGAGTAGAAGTCAACCAGACTGTAGCACAAAAAATATAGAACGTTAACGGTGTGTAGTGTGCATATATTTTAATTTCGGCAAATTGAAGAACACAGACCCGATAGAAGTATGCACAATATGGAATGAATCTGTCACTAACAATTCAGATACTCTATTCTCAGCTTGCATTACATACAAATTGAACTTCACAAAATCGCTGAGGATTTTATATGTAAAAGTAAATAGAATCTTGAAAATACCATTACAATAATAGGAAGGTATTACTTTTTTCATTCCTAAAAAATATGAGTGCCTCTCACACATTGTTGCATATACAGTATCACCATATGATATGCGATCAGTAAAAGCCATGTCACCCTGTAAAACGTAAAAAAAAATACCCAGCGGAAGAAGGTGGCAGTCATGAACGATGATATCAACCATTATTTTTGTGAGTGGCGTTTGTGAATGTGTTGTGACTGATATCGCCACAACCATGCGTGTGCTGTGCCAGTCTCGATTTCAAGGCCAACGGCAGCTGTGGGTTGACATTTCCACAAGATTTGGGAATC